ATAAATGTACCCGAGTTCCCTTTTCATTTTTGTGTTATTATATTTTAAAAAATTATTATCGTTCCATATGTGTTTCAAAATGTCTTTTAAATTACTAACAACAAATATGAAAGACTAAGTGCAACGTTGTAACAAATTTCATTTCCGTCCAAGTTATGAACGATATGATTCATCGAAAACTGAGCGAATGAACATAAACAGTGGCATAATCGTCCGTTATCGACCTACTCCAGACCGATTTTGAATTTGTAAACTGTCATTGCAACGGACAGTTGACATTGTGCTCTGGAGGAAACAATTTGTATCACTCTTGCTACGGATATAATTTGTATTCTGGAATTTTTTGCATACCTTTTTAATACGTATTTAATTGCGGCTCGCGAAAAGTTTCAAATTTTGAAAAATGGCTCGGACTATCAAGGAGCTTGGCCACCCTGGGTATATTATATAAAGCCTCGCAGAAACTCACTGTGTTCAAAATTTTCAATGTATCTCTTTGAAGGTCTTCAAACACCAACCATAATAGTACAATGCAGTCAGAAACATTTTCACAGCTTAGAGTTTTAGAAAAGCTGGATCATTGGACTGAAGGATGCAAGATGGCTGTTTTCCAAATTGCCTGCTATCTGGACTCTTCTGGCCTGACTGAAGAGGTGTTAGAACACTGGATACATGAAGGTAGGCAGAGTCTGGATGCCCCGGACAGACTACATGAGAGATGATTGTCTGATCATTACACAAGCACAAACAGTTACAATGCACAGTGGTTTAAGAAATTTCAAAAATGGCCAAAAATATAAAACACATTATTTTTTAATTTTTTATTAATTAATTAAATAATCATAAAATTTAGATTATGAATAGATGTGGTGGAGTTAAAAAAAACTTTAATTCTAGGAAAAAGAAATAATTTTCAAAAACTGTCATTGTAATCAATCAGATAAGTAATCTTCAATGCCGTTGTTTCACTTATCACTTTCATTTGAAAATTCTGTAGATTCTTTTTGAAAAAATAACATTATTTCTGAATATACATGTTTCTTTTTAGAATGTATGTTCAAGCTTATGACATATGGATCTAAAGTTATTAAGAGTCTGTGAAAGAGTTTGATTTTATGAATTTTATCTGCTTTCATTAATAATAATACAGAGAGACATATTTAATGGGATGTCTAAGCTTTTCTTATTGAATATTTTGATAAAATAGACAGAAAAGTTAATTTAATTAAATGTTTTCTTATTTGTTTTTTAAAGATATTTCAAATTTTCTTGAAACACTTCAACATCAACTTCAACAAGATCTGAATCAGAAATTGACAACTACCGAATACAGTGTCAAAGAAAGTATTGGAAAATTAATTCGAAATAAGGTAATTGTTAATTTTAATTAATAACATACATTTATTGAGAAAATAAAACGGTTTCAGTTAACTTAATATGTTTATAATTTATATAGTTTTATTTATTATCAACTTTGAATGATGATTTTATTTTAGCTGTGTGTGTTTTTTTATATACAGTTGATTTCTAAAAACTGTCTAATAATTTGTGTTAATAAATCAAGTTAATAAACTACATTCATTCCATTTTTTTTCCTTCTGAAAAATATTAAAATTTATGTTTTTAGTCAACATGTTATCTATGGTAGGTTTAATATAAAAAGTTTTTGTGATAGTTAACAAATACAATTAATAAATAAATAAAAACTGAAATGACTTGGAAAATAATGATGGAAAAGTAGATATTACATCATGGTATCTAGCAAAATATGGAACTGTTCCCCCAATTTTGTTTTTAATTTTTTTGTATTTTTACCCAAAGGTAAAAAAAAATTGGTTTGAGTCAATAGAATTCATATAAAATGAATCAAAAGAAAATTTTGCAATCCCTTAAAGAAGCTGATTTTTCTAAATGTTTTCTGAATTAGAGAAGTAATTGAAGAGAATATATCGAAGCTCAGGATGATTATTTTGAAAATATAAATTGTTTACATCCTAATGTTTTGATTTTTTTAACCCATAGTGTATTTAACCCAACACTTTTTACAAATATTTAAATATTGAATCTTATTTCAATATGAATGTGTTAACTATTTAATTTTTTGCTGAAAGAAAAAGTTACTAAAGTAGAATTCAGATATGATATTGTTTAATTTTAAGATATGTTTAGAGAATGTCAATATAAAATATATTTTTGTTTTGAAGGGATTTTCTGAAAATATTGGCTATTGTATGGTTTCTGCTATTGAACCACAACTTCATGATGCATGTTTAGAAGTCAGCAAAAATATGATAACTCCATCATTAGAAAAAGCATGCCAAAATTTATTTCAACAACTTAATGATAATTTCAACAAAGGCATTCATGAATGTAAGTTAACAATAATAAGTTTATTACATGTAAATTGTAAAGTTACTTTAATTTTTTTCTGTAATGAATAATTTATATATTTATTTTATTAGTTTAAATCAAATAAAATAAATATGATTTAATAATAATTTAAATTAGATTTAGTTTTCAGATTGTTTTGTTTGACTTAAAAAGCTTTAAATAATTCTTTTCACCTCTTGGCAGCAGTAGTACTCAATCTTTCTGAAATCACAGCATTTTTTGGATTATAAAACTTTTTGACAGAACACTTCAAAAAGTATATGACCTAAGGTCAAGAAAAAATACCTACAAATCTATTGTATTCAAACACTAGTGTTCTTCAAATTAGGCCCCTTCTGAGTTCACGCACTTCTCCGAGCAATGCTTCCAAATGTTGGAAGCATTTTTCAAAGTCATTTATCAGCATTTCCATCAGGTGCTTTGTTGCATTAGTTTTAATCTCTGCATCCTGAAATATTATTCCTTTGAGTGGCATCTTGCGTTTGGGAGAGCCAAAAGTTGGTCAGAGCTGTGTCTGTGGACTAAAGAGGCTGCTGAATCTGTGCTTTAATATGTTTTGCAAGAAATGTCTGGATGAAATACAATCTGTTGGCCAGAGTATTGTTGTGATGAATGAACCAGTCTCCTGACTGCCAGAGCTGTGGTCTCTTGCACCTAACAGCATCTTATAGGTGGTGTAAAACTGTCAGGTAGTACTTCTTTATCATAGTTTGTCTTTGAGGGGCATACTTATGGTGAACTAAGGCCTAGTGGTAAAAAAAAGGTCAACATGATCGTCACATTGCTGTGTGACTGCCATGTCTTCTTTGATCATGGAGACCTGCATTTTCCACTGGAATGATTGTGCTTCATACCTGTAGATCCAGGTCTCATTTCTGGTTATGATCTTTATGAAATCAAGATCAACATTGGTACATTTTAGCATGTCACAAGCAACGTGCAGACAGTTTTCCTTCTGGTCATCTCTGAGGAGCTTTGGAATGAATTTTGCTGCAGCTCAACAGATACCAAGATTGTCAATCTGGTCATAAGAAATGCCCAGTTCATTCACAATCTCTGAGTGTTATTCAATGATCTTCCATCACCAACCACTATACTTTCTCAATTGTTTTTGGATTTTTGCTAGTTTAAGTTCTATCAGAATGTTTGTTGCTTTAAACTGATGTTTGGTAGCCTTTTTTGCAGGGCTGTGGAGTCGCGTAAAAATCTACTGTCTCCGACTCCAACTTTTCCTTACCATCCGACTCTGACCAGGGGCGGACTTGTTGCCGAAAGAGACCGGAAATTCTGATGTCATCACGTGACTTCAGAATAAAAAATTCAATAAATAGAGTTCTAATAAAGATAGAACGTAGAAGCTTTTCATTCCAAAGCTAAAAGACTCCTCTAAGTAATATATAGGCTAAATATGTATTTGATAATTTTTACTTCTCCGGTTGTTATATATAACAGAGGGAAAGTGTAGCGCTGGGTCAAAAAATGACCCCTCCCAAATTTTTTTGGATGCAGGATGCCTTGAAATTTCGAGATATGCAAAAGATTCACGGTTTTTCTATATGTGTGAATGTTAGACTGTGTGGGGGGCATGATTTTGTTCACCCTGTTTGAAGCCTAATAATTTTTGTGGTCAGAGTGGTCAAAATCAGAGTCATTGTTTAACACAGGAGTTAGTTATTAAGTGTCAAAGTGGTTGAACTAAATCATGTCCCCATTTACATTGTAACATCTTAGGGGAGAACATCTTAACGGGTTTTACTGTACTATTATAAGATTACAAAAAAGCTTACTTTGAGGGTAGTGACGAGTTTTATTTTATTTTTTTAAATTTTGAACGCTAATAACGAGTAAAATGTTCATTAAGAGATATGACACATGACCACTTTTATATCTTCACCCTGTTGACCTTTAATTAAGGACCAAAATTTAATAGTATTAATGCCCCTTTATACGCAAGCTACAGTGCCACATTTTGTTTTTTAAACTTTACCCATTCTGAAATATTGTTTAATATCTCAGAACAGAAAATAAAGAAATTAAACAAATTAGACGTTAACACACACGCACGTGCGAATTTTTCCCCTTTATTGACTTTTTTGAGGGGTTCAGGAGGTCTCCAAACGTGTAGCTTTGCAAAAAAAACTTGGAGGGTCAAATTTGACACGATTCCAATACTTTTTCGTTTTATATACATAACAAGTTGGTAAGTAAAAAGGAGTCGGAGTCGGCGGATTTTTTGACGACTCCGACTCCACAGCCCTGCTTTTTTGAAACATTCTATAATCTTATAGTACTTGCAGTTTTCTTAACAAAATTTCATTGACTATAGTTTTTGGAAAACAGTAGGAAATTGAAATAAATCTTGCATTTAGTGTTACATTAAAGATATTAATTTTGGATTAATCAAGAAATCAAATGAGATTGTGAAAACAAAAATTAATTTTACCAGAGTCGGTAGATTAACTGGTCTTTCGACTTCCTATCTTCGCTCATTGCTAGAATCANGAATAATAATAATAAGTTTCAATAAAAATGATAAAATGTAAATTGAATTTTATCATAACGAGTTTGCTTGAATTTCCTTTCTTTTGAGATCGCAGCAATGCGCAACGGATAAGCTAGTTATCAATAATTATCAGTTGGTCGGTTTTGTCAGCTTTAATTATTGAGAGATTATTTGTTTTAAGGAAATTTATTGTATATTTTAAGAAGACTTTATATTTGTTGATTGTGTTTATTGTCTTGTTTTGCATGTTTTAAATTTTGGATGATCGTGGTAATTAAATTTCCTTTTTCTTCTTTTTCAACCACGCCCTTTTTTCGTATTATAGGAAATAGTCATACAACTATGTAATAGAAATATTGTCACACGTCTATACTGTACCATTATATAACATGTAAGTCTTTTATGTTATTGTCAACCCGAGTCTATGTTAAATCCTACTTACCAATGTCGTGAAACTCGCCTTGTTTTTTGTAATTTTAACAGCACTGAAGAGGGGTTTGGAATACAAGCCAACCCGAAATGCATCTGAATTTTTAAAAAAGTGTTCTTTTAAATAAACCGTAACGTTTTCCTAACTAATTGCTGCTTGATCGTCTACCAAAATTATCGTTTGGATTACAAAGACGCTACACACAGAAAGTGAAGATAATTTCTTACCACAATAAATTTAACAGAAAAGTTAAATTTATTGTGGTAAGAAATTATCTGCGCACAAATCTCGCTCGTATTTCAGTATTGTTAACTTTTACTTAAGATCATTAAAGATCCTTGTGCTCACTGTATATTTCATATTTGCAACATGGCAACTGGTGGGTTTTTTGTTTACCGAGAACTGTCTTAATTTTACCCATTTTTTGGTTTCTTAATTAAATTAAAATTAATTAAGATCCACAATGTGGGCAGCCGGACTGTATGGAACGGGACTTGACACATCAGGTACAGATCGCCCTGGGTTCTTCAACAGTCCGAATTCGATCTGAGCGGTAGACTGAAGTCATATCTCCAGAGTTGTCGGACTTAATGACGACTTTATTCGTTATTAGCATTTACAATTTTTTTTTTTTTTTTATAAAACTCATTTCTCCGTTCAAAATTCATCTTTTTGCCCTTTTTTAAATTAATAATAAATACATTTTTGTAATAAAATCTCTTTGCTAGAATTTTTTTGTCTTGTTGAATTTATTTTTTATATTATCAAAACTTTTTTAATCAACCGTAATTTATTTTAATTGTTGTTTTAAAAGCTAATGATGTTGTATGAATAGTATTAAATTTAGTTCGTCGCTAATCATAAAAGATTGGGAAACACCGGGTTATATTTAGGTCAACCAATATTTTAAAAGAATATTCAATTTTAAAAAATAATATAGGTTCAGGGCCGTGCTGTGCTATGATGCAGAGATGCGGCCGCATCAGGCGGCACCGTGAGGGGGCGGCATAAAAAACATTTAAGGGGCAGAATTTCAAAGACTTGCATCATACTTAGAAAATCTACCGCACGGCCCTGGTAAGATACACCAAATAATAAGAATTATAGCCTATATAAGACTAATAATTTATATAAGGGGCGGCATTTCGAAAACTTGCATCATACTTAGAAAATCTACCGCATGGCCCTGTATAGGTTATATTATTTTATCAATTTCTCTATTTTTAGCTTTTTGGATTTGGAAATGTGTGGCCCGTGTAACAAATATTTATATATTCAAAAATATTTGAAAATCTTGTGAGATTTGTGTGTTAAAAAGGTTAGAGATTCCTGTTTTATACAATACAAATTGCAATTATGTTTTACGATAAGTACAGAAATAAAGAAATGAAGGATTGCTAACATCCAGAATAAATATACACGTATTTTCATTTTCCTGCATGTAATTAGTATCAAACACAAGTATCCTTATTTAGTCATACTAATGAGAAAAATAAAATTTGCTTTATATTTTCCATATCTGATTTTGCAATTAGTTTCAAACAAAAATGCAAAAGTACGAATTTTAATTTTACATATAAAATTATAATATCCATAATCCACAAATAAGATCTACTGTACCACTCAATACAGTAAAAACTATTATACACTACTGTACATAGAAATGAAACAAATAATAATGATAAACTTCCACTCATTCAATTCCTTATTTTATGCTTCATTATCAAAATTAAAGAAAAAAATGTAAACTGATTTAATTAACTTTTTAAATAAAGTAAATTGTTACTTATCTTTTCAACAAATTCTATTATCAAAGTTAATTTATAAATTTTAATTATGTATATGCAGGGGTGGATCTACGTAAGGACTAATAGGACTTAAGCCCTGGGAACTCAAAAATTGAATTATCATCATAAATTTTTAATACTTTTTCATTAACAACGAGCACTTATCAATATAAAGTTTGTCATTCAACACCATTTCATAAATATATTTCAACTCTGATTTTGATATTATTAAAAATGAATTTTAAACTCCAATTTAAAGATTCTTAATCTAACAAAAAAATGGGGCCCCATTGGGCTTCAATAAGCCTTCGGCCCTGATAAACCTAGATCTGCTCGTGTATATTTAATATATCTTACATACAGAAATAGGACCAATACAGTAAATCTAACTGGATTTTTCTTGGATAAGATTAATATCTATTCTGAATAATTTAGTTTTTAAAGGAGGGCATGTATTGATGAAATCGTTTCTGAATGTTTAATTATTTGTTATTAATTTCAGTTTTATATCAATTTTATTTTCTACCACAATTAAAAAATATGCTACTTATCTAGATTAAATTTTGTTTTACAAATTTAAGTGATTTAACTTTTTCAAGAATTAGTTTGAAGAAAATTTATAATATATCTTATTTTATTAAATGAAACACAATATGCAATAAAAAGTATATTTTAATTCTTGACAAGTGTTAAATGAAATGAAATCATCATTAGTCATGATATGATGCTGGACTTAAAACCTATGTCTTGCATTAAAATGCGGTCTTGGGCCGAGCAGACTTTGGTTATTGGAAGCCGGTCTAGAACCGAGAAGACTCTGATTACCAAAATCTGGTCTTGATCCAAGCAGACTTTGGTTACCAAACTCCGGTCTTGATCCAAGTAAGCTCTGATTGTTATCTGGTCGAGAACCGAGTAAACCTTGAGGACTGGAATCGCCTCTTGATCCAGAAATATTCTGGTTATTCATTCCAGATCTTGAATTGTGAAAATTTTGATTACCAGTATCTGGTCTTGATCCTAGTAGACCAGAATTTCCACCTTCTGGTCTTGTTCCTAACAGACCTTGACTACCATCGGGTCTTGATCCAAGCAGACCTTGATTATTACCATCAGGTCTGGAGCCTAATAATCCTTGATTATTATCTCTACCATCTGGTCGTGAACCTAATAGTCCTTGAATACTAGAGTCAGGTCTGGTTCCAAGTAAGCCTGAATTTTTTACATCAGGTCTTGTACCCAATAATCCTTGATTAATGATATCTGATCGTGATCCAAGCATATCTGTGTCTTGTCCAAGCGGATTTTGATTTCCAGGAGGTCTCGATCCTAATAGACCCAAGTTACCACCTGGTCCTGTACCAAGTAAACTTTGAGCATTCAGGTCTGATCTGGATCCAAGCAAATTTTGACTGCCATCAATTGGTCCAGATCCAAGTAAACTCTGATTAATAGGACCAGAACCTAATAATCCTTTATTAATTCCAGCTGGTCCTGAACCAAGGAGACTTTTATTTACTGCAAAATCTTTATTAGATCCTAATAAATTTTGATTATTAGGATCATTCATCAAGTTCTCTCTATTCATAATGGCATTCATTTGTTCAGACGTGTCAGGATTTTGAACAGGAATAGTATTTTCAGTACCAATATTTGACATTAATCCTGAGTTTAAACTAAAATTTCTTAATAAACATGAACTATTTTGCATAAGATTATCTAATGCCTTTTGTACATTAGGATTATTAAAATTAATGTATGTTGAATTTACTGGTTCTACAGGATTTATTTCTGTTTGCATCAATTTAGGATCTTCCTTATTTCCAAAAACTCCAGATATATCAACTGATGAAACTTGAACCGGATTAACCATATTCAACATATTAGGTGACATAACTGGTTGATCAATTGTTCCCTGCTCACCTAAGAGCATTAAAAATTATTATTATTTGTAATTAAATAAAATAAGACTTAATTTTTTTATTATTTAATTATAAGTCTATTTCTTGTATTTATTTCAAGTGAATGATTTCATTTACTTTTAATTTTTTATATTTAAATATCTTGAATTACAACAGATCAAAAGTATCAATTTGGTTTGAGTCAACTTAAATCAATCAAAGCTAAATCTTTAATTTAATACTAGTATTTAAAAGATATTAAACATTTTTAATCTAAAAGGCAATATTAATCTTCATACTTTTAAAATTGTAAAGGTATTATTACATATGAAATGTCAATTCTCTTTATTTTATAAAAGTATTCAAAACACAGCTCTGGTTTTGTATTCCTTCAAACATTCATCACAGTTTACTGGTCAGAACATAATACCAGTGCATAAATATCTAATAATACAGATTTAATAATTTGTTTCTACTATTGTTATGTTTCAATTAATGAGAAAAATGTAAACAATTATTAAAATTAAAAAATCTTAAAAAAAGAACAAATAAAAAATTGATTTAGAAAAAAATAANTGTAATCGTATGGGGAAAAATGATTCACCTTACGACATTTTCATGATACGATCTGAGTGTTGGAACGGATTAACTTCGTATCCTGAGGTACCACTGTATTTCAGCCTACCATTGTCATGTTTATTGCGATACTCGGATGGTACGAAATGGTACAATTTTATTGGTCAAGTAGACACCAATTGAAAAAAGCGTAATTTTTTAAAATACCATATTTTTTCCTAATGTTAACTCTAAGAAATTGAACCATTCACATCTGAATATCAAATGGTAATCTGCCAACGAATCAAATTTCACAAAAGATGGATTATATAATTAAACGCAGCACCCTCGATAATTACTTAAATCGTATTTTGTGCTGACCTGTAACCTTGTATTATTTAATTTTCCTGTTCGAATTTCACATACTGCTGGTCTGATAGAAAGAAAGAAGAGTTTTGCAAAAGTGGGTCTGAGTAATTCGACCAAAAATCATCATCTCCCAGAAGCAATGATGATCAACGACTATTAGTTCATTAATTAATACCGGTCTACTATTAATATTTGAAAAGTAATCCGTGTTGGATAGGTCGTGATGGCCCCGCATGTGATGGAAGTTGCTAACCTTAACGTCCGAAAGACTTCTTATGATTTGTTTAAATGAAAAAAAATTGTAAAAGGGAGAGAATAATTGTTTTATGTGGTGATAAAGTGTTTAAATTTTGGCAACAGATTGTATAAATTACGTAGTAAGTATGTTCTCAAAAATATTGCGTTTATAGAAAAATTATTGGGCTGCAATTTGAAAAAATTGTAGAACTATAAATTCCCACTGTCATTCGCGTGTCTGCCTGTCTTCCTTAATCTCGAGAAAAGAGTTATATAGCTGAAAGTCGAGACTGTTATAGAAAGAATAGGGGCAGGAGGCCTCGAGTAACTATATACGAATTTCCAGTACAAACGGAGTTAGATAAATGACCGGCACTTTATTGCTAACAGGAAAAGCACGATGTACAGGAGCAAGACCACCACTAAAAGAATTGAGAACATTGACGAAAAGTCGCAGCCCGACATTGATATGATGTCACAATAAATAATCGCTCTTTAGTTTGGTTTATTTGGTTACAGCAATGCGACACGCGAGCGATCTGCCGAAGGGCATACATCCCGGGAAGACTTTTATAGGATGCTGGACTCTATTTGGATGTTATTAACGTGAAGAAAACCGGGAAAACTTTACGAGGCCAGCTTATTAGAATTAAGAAAGTCCCGTTAATTATGAAATGAAAAAACCTGTGGTTAGATGTGGAAAATTAAACAGTTATATATTTTTCACAGGGTAATACTTTCGATTCCACGCAGGCAAGTGCTATGTGCTACCTGTCTCAGTAATTAAGTGAATATAATATTATATTTTGAAAATTATATCCTTTCTTGTAAGAAATATATTTAGTTTATTTTGTTAGATTTTTGTCAATAGATGACGCTACGGGTAAATCAGTAAATCGAATGTAGATAGAAATTCAATAGATATTTTGGGGTGGGATGTGCGACAATATCTAAGTTGGGCGTATGTGAAACGTAACTGTCGAGTTTCGTAAAATTGGTCGAACGGCCTAGGAGTGTATAGCGAACAAACAAACCTCATCATTTATATATATAGATAATCATTATAAATTGTCGTAACAATTCAATTTTTTGGCAAAATTAACTAACAGTAGTTTTCATTAATAAGTGAAAATTATTATATCATAATGAAATTTTTATTTTTTTAATTATATAGATTTACATCAAGTGGATGTGTATTTAAATAAACAGTCACAGCAAGCATGTAATAAAAATGACAAAACTCTCACACAAACTTTAGAACAAGCAAGTGAAATAAAACTGTTTACTGAACAGTTACTTGAGTCGTGTGTTGTTGAAGTGAAAAAACAGACAGATAAACATCTTCAAGAAATGCTAGCAAAACAGCAAGAAACTATGTTAACGAAAGTGCAGGTGATGGTTAGAGAAGAAATTGATTCTAATTTAAAAGAGCAGTCAGTATTAGAAGGTGACCTATCGTCATTACGCCAGTGTAATACGACTCCTTTTCCTCCAATGATGGACTTACAAATGCAACAGCAACAAATACTTCAAGCAATTAAACAGGGACAGCTGAGCGTTGCCTTTCAACAGGTAACAAAAAGTTTTATTAAATGAAAATATTATTTTAAATTTATTTAAAAAATAATAATTCAAATTTTTCCCCTAATAGGCATTATCAGCAGCTAATTTAAATCTAGTATTGTTCACGTGTAGAGCAGTAGATCCAAGTATAGTTTTTGGCCAATATCCTTGTCCTTTACAGCAGCACGTTCTTCTATCATTAATTCAACAATTAGTAGCAGATTTATCTACACACATCGATTTAAAATTGAGGTATGATTTAATAAAAGTAATTGTAGGTACTGTACATTTGTTGAAGCTTACAAGAGATCTTCTTTACTTTAGATACGTAGAAGAAGCGGTAATGCAATTAGACATGAATAATCACGTGACTAGAGAACACGGAAAGGCAGTATTGAGATCCCTTCAACAGAAATTAATGGCATTTCTACAAGCAAATACAAATCATAAGTATTATGTAAAAGTGAAAATGTTATTACTTGCTACACATTCCTTGTGTAACAAATAGTTAGTTCTTAAGTATTTTTGTACTATTTTCTTTGAACATAAAAGTTTTTATTCAACACTGAGTATATGTACTTGACTATGTCTACGTTCTTTTATTTTCGTTGTTAAAATTAAGACAAAAAAAAAAGTCAAAGTAAAAAAGATGTAACTGTACATATTTAATATTTGTGTATTTTATTTTCAAAATAAAAATTATTTAATGTTATTTTCTTATAAATAAACATATTATTTTTCATTTATTAGCTTTTTTGAGCAGTTTTAGCTTCGTTTCTAGAGAAAAATGAATAGATATGAGGGAAAGTATAAGTTCTACTCTTGATAGTTTTCATTACAGTTTCTGTGGATTTTTTTAAGCCTAAAATTTATGGTTATTTTCAGTAACTTACATCACATAAGAAACTCTAATTGATATAGACTTTATTACTGGATATGGATATGCATTTCGGGTCTTAATGACCTCTCTTTATTCCTTATTTTTTATATAGATCTTATCAAAATAAATAATAGTTATAAATTACATTACACATACGTATTTAGAGATAATTTTTAGAGAAAATTTTTTTTCTACTTTAGCTGATTATTGAAATTAAAGATTGGGCAAGTAACTGGATACTGTATATTGTAAAAAGTTGTTTAAAAAAAGGGTGCTGTATGAAATAAAATTGAGGTAGATAAATGAAATTTAAAAAAATATATATATTTTTCAAAAAAGTTCTACTCTTACTCATAATCTTGTTTTTTAGTGTTGGTTACTCAATTACCACTAAAAATGTTTTTGTTTAGTGTGAATTCTTTTCAGTAGATTCGGAATAATTGACAATGGATTACAATCCATTGCAATCATCTATTTTTTTTCTTATTAGAAAAGGTTTTTTAATAAGATAGGAAGAAATTCTTATTTCTTTATTATTTGTTACCATTTGCTGAAAATTGTAACAAATGAATAAATTAATCCATTTATATCATTTTTTTGAGTTACAATAGACTCCCATATCCCAACTAATGTGGCTGGGTGTGATTTGAATATGAGAAAATCCGGATAAGGGAGTGTGATATTTTTAAAATAAGATTCAACATGTAAGTCTACTGTATATAAAAAAGTATTTATTTTGACTATGACTCATATTTTTGAGAATTACAATTAATTTTGAAAGTATTGTGTTAAAGTTTGTTTTGTTCTTTGCTTGATTCTTCTACATAACGCCAATCTCATCATAGTCATGTCAGCGGGGATAAGCATAATTAAATATTCCACTTAGAATTCTTGGATTTAAAACTTTCTAACATAAATGTTTATCAATAATTGTTTTAGTACGATTACGTAAGCAGTTAAAGTCGATGATAATGCCATTACATAAAGTAGAATTATGTTTCGTTAACGAATCGATTAGATCAGTAGAAACATTAACGTAGTCGGGGAAATTTGTCTCGAGGGACCAGTTTCGAATTTATTGTAAACTAGCTTGCCCGTCGCGCATTGCTGCGATCTCAGAAGAAAGGAAATTCAAGCAAACTCGTTATGATAAAATTCAATTTACATTTTATCATTTTTATTGAAACTTATTATTATTATTCATTTTCATCGGGAAAACATTTTAAAGTATCGTTTCAATTTTATTTATTTATTGGAGTGCTTTGTGGATACACGATATATTTTGTTTTTCTGTCTGGTGCGTACACAAATAAATCAGAAGGTTTTCCAACGCGTGAGTTGGCCACATACAGTTGTCCATGCGAGAAGCACGGATTCTCCAAATTTAGCTCATACACTTGCAGCGATTGTCAGAAGTGCGATATTCCCCATTTATATATACAGGTAGGCCTCCTACAACGCGGTACCTTTACAACGCGTTTTCGCTCCAACGCGGTTGGAAAAATGCGGAAATTTTCTTACAACGCGTTTACGGTATTTAGAAACGAATTATCTTTCACATAACAGAAAAATCGCAACGGATCACGTGATACAACCGCAATTCGGCATACAGAACTAAATGTCCTTGAAAACAGCTGTTTGTCACCGTTGCCGTGTTATTTATTCCCTTGAAAGTTTCAGGGGAAGACCATTTCTAGACAGATGTGTATCAGTTACCAGAAACACTCAAATATATCATTAAATTTTCCATCATTTATACTGTTTCCAAAAGTGGGGACAGCAAAAATACAGTATAAACTTCTATTGGGTGTATATTTTTAACATAGTGAAAAAAAGTTATTTTTTTGCGATTTTTACTGTCCACAAAACTGATTGAAAAAATTTTAGCCATAACAATGCCGAATGAAAAGAAAGGACCGTCGTTAAAAAGGAAATTTATAACTCTTCAAAGATAGAAATTAATTTCCATTTTATATTTGGGTACATATTTTTGACATAAAGACTGATTAGTTTATCAGTGTTTTGTTTCTGTATTTTCAGTACTCTATTAATAACATCATCAGCGTTTTTTACGGTGTACTTAGAATGATCGATGTTTATTAATTGTTGCTTGATATACTGTTCTAAGTTGCATAGAAAATCTAAAATCAACTAAAGGTCTGAATTTTTCTTTTTTGTGGGTTTTTAATCTTATATTTAGTTTGTGGGTTCTATTGTTTTTGAAATTAAGGATATAATTTTTATTGTTTTCACTTATAGACTATTATTATTGCCGTACATGTTTTTGACTATTTTAGTTAGATCCTTTTTTATATCTTCGTATGGGTTGTTGTTTAATTTGATGTAATNCTGAGTTTAAACTAAAATTTCTTAATAAACATGAACTATTTTGCATAAGATTATCTAATGCCTTTTGTACATTAGGATTATTAAAATTAATGTATGTTGAATTTACTGGTTCTACAGGATTTATTTCTGTTTGCATCAATTTAGGATCTTCCTTATTTCCAAAAACTCCAGATATATCAACTGATGAAACTTGAACCGGATTAACCATATTCAACATATTAGGTGACATAACTGGTTGATCAATTGTTCCCTGCTCACCTAAGAGCATTAAAAATTATTATTATTTGTAATTAAATAAAATAAGACTTAATTTTTTTATTATTTAATTATAAGTCTATTTCTTGTATCTATTTCAAGTGAATGATTTCATTTACTTTTAATTTTTTATATTTAAATATCTTGAATTACAACAGATCAAAAGTATCAATTTGGTTTGAGTCAACTTAAATCAATCAAAGCTAAATCTTTAATTTAATACTAGTATTTAAAAGATATTAAACATTTTTAATCTAAAAGGCAATATTAATCTTCATACTTTTAAAATTGTAAAGGTATTATTACATATGAAATGTCAATTCTCTTTATTTTATAAAAGTATTCAAAACACAGCTCTGGTTTTGTATTCCTTCAAACATTCATCACAGTTTACTGGTCAGAACATAATACCAGTGCATAAATATCTAATAATACAGATTTAATAATTTGTTTCTACTATTGTTATGTTTCAATTAATGAGAAAAATGTAAACAATTATTAAAATTAAAAAATCTTAAAAAAAGAACAAATAAAAAATTGATTTAGAAAAAAATAAACAAATGATAAAATCTACAACTTCAATTTGAACATCCAACAGATTATCATTCAGTTATAGCATTTCTCATTATGTAACAAAAATTTTAATACAATACTTTTTGATTAGGTTAAATAATTCCAAAGACAAAATTTTAAATGCAAAATATTCATTTTACTGAAAATTTTTTGTGAATTTTGAATATTTTTCTTATTAGTTATAATTAATTTTCAAAAGTATTTTAGAAAGAATAGTATTAGATTTGATAGTTGAGGTAGTATTGTAAAAAAATGTATTAAACATTGTTAAAATTTTAAATTATTAATATTTTGATATTTCTGTAAAAATAAAGTAAAATTACTTACCAGGTATTATTTCTTTGCTTTTGTCAATTCCTAATAGTTTATTTTTCACATCATCTAAATAATTAATTATTACTTCTAATTCCAGTATAGTCAGAAATCTACCATCAGCAAGCATATTAAGTAAAAACCGAGTTTCTGGAGATTTCATAAGCGAGTTTCCAAACTGACCATGAATAGCATTTAAATTCATTTTCTCTCTCTGATTTTGAATATATTCATGGTAATTACGAGCAATTAATTTTATAGCATCATCTATAGGCATATTTCGATGTTCTAGATAAACAAGTTTATAAATTATTAATTAAAATATTAATTTTAAAATAAATTCAATGTTTAAATTTTAATACCTTGTGGACGTCCGTGAAGAATATTTAAAGTAACTGAATTATGAATTTCATTTTGAGGATTGATAACCATTGCATAAAGACATCCACGTTCTGATATATCATCTACTGTTTGGACAAGAAGATTATCTTCTTTAAGAAAGAGAATATCTACTCGAAAACCAATATTTTTCAGTCTAGTTTCAATTGATTCTGCATATATTCTGTAATAAAAATAATTTTTTTACTACAAATTGAAAAAATAACATATCAAAATAATTAAACAAAGCTTATTATTAAATTTATTCTATCTCATTAAATGAGGCATATTCAATAAACTTGATAACTTTCAATGACATAAGAACATTACATTCCATAAATCAGAATTTTTTCTTGCTTTTAGTAAAAATTTCAATACTATAAAACATCCTTGTATTTTTCTCCATTACAGAAAAACCTCTAAGATAGAAAACTGATAACTTTATTTCAATAATGACTCCCTAGAGAATGAAAAATTTCATATAGTATTGAAAATTATACCAACAAACAGAAAATATTTAATAAAACTTTGCATCTGCCATGCAGCCAAATGATATAAATGTTAATTCTAAGAATACTCTTTATCTCTATAACCTTTTAAGTGTTTCATTTAAACATAGTTGAAACACTTTTAAAGTTCAAAAGATAGGTTAATCAATAAACAATTAATTACTTCTAAATAAATCAAATCTTAAATCTTGATTCCATTCAAGATATTTTTTAAACTTGCTATATTATTCCTAATGAAGAGATGCTAATCTTTGGAAATATTTATCATCCTACGAAAATTATATTGTACTGGTACATTTTGAAATTTAACACAATATTAGAATAAATATTTATTATACCATACATTATATTATTAATAAATAAAGATTAAAATTTTATATTATTTTTAAATAAAATATTTTTACAAAATCATATTCTAATGTAAAATTAATACTAAATACTAATGATAAACAGATATTAATTAAATATTCTATAACAGAAGAAAATAATATCTACAACAATTATCCAATGAACATATTACCACATTTATATTGATTCTATATTAAACCTAACTGAAGCCTGTAATTGTACAAATTTTTTAATTCTATTATGCAATATTTATTGATAGCATTTTTCTACTTATGTTGTTTATCAATTGATAAACCAATTTATTTATTTTAGATTGTTTCTAAAATAAATAAATTGGTTTATTAATTATAAATTGTGTTTAATGGATGTGTTAAAAATTCATTTTTTAAATTCTACCAAGTTTTCTATTATTCTATTAGATAAAATTTATTTATTAAACACATTTTTAACCTCTCACATCTAGGATATATCAGTATACTAAATTTGCAGTATAGTTCTATCATACCGTATGCAGCAACGTGACAAATGGAGTATTGTCATATCTTCCATGTAATCTAACAACTAAACTTGTAAACTGTTTTTTGATTTTTGTACCTACTTTAGCAATCATTTTTTGGCAACTTGCTAAAATATTTTTTTACTTAATCCAGAAATTAGTTTTTATTTTTAGTTCACTTAAAATATTGGTTTAAATTTGTCATAATTTGTAAATTCTGTGATTTTCAGTATAAAAATCCAAAGTTAATGTACACAAGACAGCTAACAGATTCAGATTTCCAACTTTGTCAAATAAAAAGTACAATTTTAGAACGATGAATAAACTTTCTTCAGGTGTTAATATGTTTAAATCAGAATAATAAAGTTTGTAAAACTTTACATAAGAAGATAAAACATATATTACTGGCAAGCACTTTTGATAACTTAATATTTTATAAAGATAAGAAACAAGTAAATGTAATAACAACTCTCATCTTCATTAAGAAGTATTACATTTCAAATAAAACCTGTAGAAAAACTTGAAATATCTTTTATTCTTCTCTAATATAAATATACTATAATCACTAAAACATTGCTAAATACAATTATAAAAGTCTGTTTAATTAATAAACATTTCATTATATTATTAATATAATTAGATATTATTTAAAATTCATTTAAAAACCAAAATTTTCAATGTAATAAATATATACATTTATTGTACCTTAAAATAATAAACTTACCTTTGTTGTCTACTAACAACAATTTCACAGTCATTCGGTTGACTATCAAAATGATCTCTAAATGGCATTTGGGCTGATCCAGAACTATATGAAAAATTAAACATTTAACATTTAAAATACGCAAAATTAATCTATTCAAAATATTACTAAAATAATTCACAGCTGCCAAGTAAAGTAAAACACTGTGTTTTAAATGTTGTTGGAGTGTGTTTATTCAAATTATTACTACTTTGTTACTATTTAAAGAAGTTTTAACTATTGTAATAATTTTTTACAATAGTGAAACAAAATTTATTAAAATAATATTTGTTAGCAATGTAATAGAAAGTTAGATTTTTATCTATAATAATGTGATATTATAAATAATTTTAATTCATCAAATTCATGTTTGATTCCAATAAAAATATATTAAATTTTCTGCATCTTTACTATTTGATTAATACTTTCATCAAATGATCAACAATCGATTTAATTTTATTAAAATATAATCACATTTCACTGAATATACATCACATTCTTCTTTCTAAAATTAAATGAAAATTAGATGAAATCATCAACTCTTGTAAGTACTATTACAATAGTTCAGTGAATATTCAATGTACTGAACTTGTAAACCTTGCATCAAATATATAAATATGAAATCAAATATTAAATTCTGTTATTATTCAGTAAAATTATACACATTGAATAACCCAATTGTGGTTAATGCCAAACAATCTACCAGATTATACTGGACTATATTATGGCTACATTCATATAAATTAAATCATAATACAGATTGTTTGGTATTAGTAAAATTAAAATGGATTTACAAATATAATAAAGTATAATATATAATTATTCATTAATGTATTAATTTATCATGTGAATGAAATTTAAAAATGATACTGTCATCTGAAATTCTGAATGAGGGCACTAGATTTGGATGAAAATCAAATCGGCTTTAGATTAATGCATTTTAAAATCATAATTTAAATAGGTATATTAAATATTTCTGTAAATACATACAATAAGAAATTATCTATTATTTTTGAACACATAATTAGTATTTAAAATTAAATAAATATTAATTAACAATAGTTTTTTTTAATCTTAAAATGACTTTATAAATAAACTTGCAAACAAAAGAAATAAAATGCAAATATTTTCTGATAATTTTATGTTTTACTTTAAAATGAGGCTTCTCAATCTATTCTAAAAGGAACCTGTTGTGTTTCTACTAATTCTGCTTCACTTAATGTACTAGAAACTTCACTATTAAAAAATAACTAATTATTTATTGGTACTCTTTTCTCTGTTTGCCTTACATCGGTAATTGGTTCCAGGAGAGGCGACTTAAGTCGAAAAATGACATAAATCAAATTTACTTGTCACTAAGCTAAACCAGAAATAACCATTCCCAGTTTTGTATTTGATTTATAAATAAATTTTTAATAATATATGGTTAATAAGAATCTATTTTAAGCTTACAAACAAATAAATTTTAGTTTTTAATATAGTACAGAAAAAAGTAATCTAAATTTACAAATTCATGTATTGTACATACAGTACATACTTGTAAATGTACATGTTTGCAATTTGGCGATGTTTACAGTACATTGCAGACTCTTCATTTGTGAATGTGGTTTGCTCTAAGACATTATAAAATGACTTTGTAAGGTTCAATAACAAATACAGTTATTAAAATTATCTTGTGACAGTAGAAAATAAACTATATTGGTAAATTTATATTAAATTTACCAATATCGAGTGGCACTGATGACGACGCCAAACGGTAGATGTTGGAAAACACCAATATTGAGCACTTAAAGACTGCTAAATAAGATGACAACACAAAAATACAGATGTTTTCATGTTTCATTCTCTAGGATTTATGATAATTATATTAACATTTACTGTAAATGTATATATTTTAATATGATTTTATGTGCTTTAACACTTTTATAGTGATGTTACGACTTCAATATTTGTGGCGGACAGATGTAAGGTCGAATAAAATGACTTAAAAGTTGATTTTTATTTTTCCATACACTTTTTGTCAAATGATGTATAATCGAGAATGATGTAAGTTGAGGTATACCTGTATTCTCCTACAACTGGGTGAAAAGTGGTTAGTTTGTTTTGACAACTGCCAAGATGAAATCATCAAATACAGGATAATTTGCAATAAGATAACCTTAATTTGTTTTTGTTATTTTATTAATATACCAGTAGACTTTATTTATCTCATAGGCCATCTTATCCAGGAGACAGAAAAGTAATGTAAACCCTACACTAATGTTTATGCCTTATTTAGTGTTAACATTCACTTTTAAATGGTGGAATCTAGTAAGTCCCTAAAAATAAATATATTGTGTATGCCTGCATTATATAAATAAATAAATGTCCTTAGTCGTGTGTGATGCAAAATATTGAACCACAAAAAAACAATCTGCCATACTGATATTCAATAATGATAAATGATTAATTACCATTCACATCAATATCTGGTCATTATTGATAATACTTTCTTGAAAAAAAAAAAAAAACATATCTGGCAAAATACATAAATGTTTAATATGTGTTTGGATAATGATATGAATGTTTGGTCAAAGATATCATTATCATGTTACTTTGGTCATTCTTGTAAATGAAGGAACATTCATATCATTTTATATTTCACACTATTGATCATAATAGATATAAGCAACCAAGCATGAATATTCTATAATAATCAGATCATTAAATCCAAGATTACTCAGATTAAATTTAGCCTATTAAAAACATAAAATAATAACTGTTAGCAGTTAGCCAAAATCTATCCCAAATCATCCTGTATTGATGATTTAATTCCTTGTAGATATAATTATAAAGTGATGATGATGATAAATGCTAAAATAAACTCAGAAAAAATTAAACAGAAAATGAGCAATTATTTATTTATTGTGACATTGTCACAATGCCGGGCTACAAATTTTAATCATATTTTTAATTTATTTAACTTAAAATATATGCTCTCCACCTCAAATTAATACTGATTGGCTNAATGAGCAATTATTTATTTATTGTGACATTGTCACAATGCCGGGCTACAAATTTTAATCATATTTTTAATTTATTTAACTTAAAATATATGCTCTCCACCTCAAATTAATACTGATTGGCTCCCGTACATCCTACTTTTCCTTTAACAACAGAGTCATGCCAGTCATCTATTAACTGCTTTCAGGGGAAAAGTTTTGAATTGAATTAACATGACTTTCAGTTTGAATTGGAAGTTCATATATAGTTAATCAAGACCTCCTGCCCCAAGGTTGCCATATCTGGCATTGGATTTCATCTATCTAACTCCATTCTCAAGATTAAAGAGAGACAGATGGAAGGACAACAGTGGGAATTTAAAGGTTTATATTTTTTTCAATTGCAGCCAAATAATTTTAATTGATAATGTCCAATAACATTATCAATTAAAATTATTTGGCTGCAATTGTGACAAATATAAACCTTTANTCCTACTTTTCCTTTAACAACAGAGTCATGCCAGTCATCTATTAACTGCTTTCAGGGGAAAAGTTTTGAATTGAATTAACATGACTTTCAGTTTGAATTGGAAGTTCATATATAGTTAATCAAGACCTCCTGCCCCAAGGTTGCCATATCTGGCATTGGATTTCATCTATCTAACTCCATTCTCAAGATTAAAGAGAGACAGATGGAAGGACAACAGTGGGAATTTAAAGGTTTATATTTTTTTCAATTGCAGCCAAATAATTTTAATTGATAATGTCCAATAACATTATCAATTAAAATTATTTGGCTGCAATTGTGACATGAGTTGCAGAGTCAATCATTCAGCTTTTAAATTTAAATTTATTATATTAATGTCTTCTAACTTGAAACTTATGTGAGAGCAGGACTTGACAAAATTTTTGAGAGAAAAATTTTGTCTTTTTAAAATCCCAGCAAAAATAAAATTTTCAATTTAATTACCAAAGGATGATTGCATCTCTTTCCCCAGAGTAACTTCCTTTCCCAGGGGACTGATCAAATGTATCACTGGAAACTAACTACAAGTATTCACCATTGGTCAAAGATAGTAATGTGGCTAAAAAGAGGGCATCGAAAGGGGGAGGACCCCCGATATAAAAGGATTGAATGAAGGACAAGAAGGTTGTCAGGAGTCCGAGTGTTCACTGACCCTGTTCCCTTCCCAAGAAAGTGTAATGTAACTGTGCTCCATTGCTGATCCTGTCCAATGTTGCCATTCTCCAATATTCCAACTTCTCGATCCAAGAACCTGACAAGCCAACATAATGAACACAAAATTAATCAACCACAAACCTTTACAGTGCGAAATTACATATAAAAATCCGGTTAAAAAGTTCCCACAAACGTTTTCGAACCCACTTAGGTTCTTCTTCAGGTGAAAAAACTTAAATACTCAAAAACATTCAATGGAATCCAAATTATGAACACAAATTTCCTCAATGATTTATAATCCTGTTCAACCAACAATCTATGGTCTCAACCCATAAATCAAATTATCAAAATATTTAGCATCACACATAATAATGTAAGTTCTCTCAGCTAGGAATGTGCTAACTCCTTATCTACTAGTATAAAGTCCAATAGATTATGTTACGTTGTATCCATATTATCCAGTATGTTATGCTACTAAAGCTCATCTATTTTGCCACTATATAAAAGTTAAACATAATATTATTGTAAACATATGTGTTAATAGTTTACATAAATAAACGAATATTATTTCTTTATAATTAAGTTGTATTGTGCAGTTCTTTCTGCTGCATTGACATCTCAGACTGTCTCCATTCGAAATCCCTAGTGTCTACATATGTGACTGTTCATGCAAAACCAAAACTGCAGCTAACAAGGTTTTTGTGTCTGCCTTAAAAGACACAGTGGTGTCAGTCCTGAAATAGACATCACCAAAAGTGGCATCACCAAATTGTGACATGAGTTGCAGAGTCAATCATTCAGCTTTTAAATTTAAATGTCTGGTGTCAACCCTCTGGTCACTCATACCATATAATATGGAATCAATATTATTAAAACACTATCAGGTTAAATAAAAGAGAAATGTTTGGACTATTATTCAAAACCAATTTCTGTTCACAATAGCATGCATTTCAAACATTACTATGAGCTGGTTGGTCTGAATAAAGATCCAAAAATGTTTCTCCTTTACTTTTATTTCCTTAAATAACTATTTTCCTCTTGAAACATACCTAAATGGTACAAAGCCTTACAGAAATTCCTAGTAATAACTTGAAACTAGTGTGAGAATCTAGATTTAGGTGTAGACTATTTAAAGGAATTATTTGTGAAAATAACGCTTTAAATTTAAATAGAAAATTAATATTTTATAATTTTAACAATTTTATTTGAAAAATGGATGTCTAATACTTTCGTTATAGAAAGGAAGTTGATTTCCTTTCCTGATGGCTGACTTGAAGTGAATCGTAAGCGTCCACGCACAGGACTTGGCCATCAATCTGGCCCTAATCTCTATAAAAGGGGATGATTTTCCCACTTTTCGGCACAGTTCCTGGAAGAGAATTCACCATGCAAATTTAACAGTTCGAAATGGCCTGTTCAATGAAACTAGTGGTTCAATTAGATCCTCATATGTATTTAAAATTAATGAATAAAGAAAAGTATTGTTAATGTAGTATAAATTGTTAGAAATATTGTACACCCTCTCTCTCCGCAAGATAGGCCTAGTTTGTAAGATAGATAGTCTAGTATCTCCATGAGGATAGGCCTAGATTGTATTGTTAATACTGTAATTCCATTTGTTTGCATTCTCATGTCATTTGTATTTTTATTGATCATTTGTATTTTATTGTATTTATCCATTTAATATGTTTATATTAAATTTATTCTATCTCATTAAATGAGGCATATTCAATAAACTTGATAACTTTCAATGACATAAGAACATTACATTCCATAAATCAGAATTTTTTCTTGCTTTTAGTAAAAATTTCAATACTATAAAACATCCTTGTATTTTTCTCCATTACAGAAANCCATTTGTTTGCATTCTCATGTCATTTGTATTTTTATTGATCATTTGTATTTTATTGTATTTATCCATTTAATATGTTTATATTAAATTTATTGTTATTTGTATCAGATGATCTCATGCATTATCCCACTCGCTCAACTGTTAATCCTCCTATGATTTATTCGGACGTTGTCACTCGAACGTCACAGCTATTTATAATTAGATGTAAACGTGAGTAAGAGCGCATATTTTAAATTTCCTTAACTGGTGTCGAGAATCCTGATGGAGGAGGCTGTGATTTTACGATCAGTTAGTCTCTGCATCTTTATCACTCATAGAAAAGCCATCCTTTTATACTACCGTGGGCTAATCTCACAATTAGATGCCGATTAAGTGGTACACAAGTTCTATCAACTTCGTACCCCCCGGCTAGCCCCTCACACTAGTATAATAAATAATCTTTAATATAATCTTAATTTTGAAAAAATGTTTGTTTAATTTAGTGTGTACTAGTATTTATTCCATTCTTGCCTGCAAATCTTGACTTCAAAACTCAAATCACTGTCACAGTTAATGAGGTGACAACAGATATGCTCCTTAAGAGTTTGGCAAAATGATGGGATTTCTACTGTACCATCAACACTCACATAAGATCAAAAAGACTACTCAAAGTAAAATTTGATGTGTTTTACCATAAATTAATTCCTCAACTGGTTCTGTAAGTCTTCCAATTAAAATTCTGCACACATTCAAATTTGTTAAGTCCTTTTTGAATCATCATCTTTTCTAAAATATATAGCCATCTTTATAGTTGTACAGTTTAAAATATTCAATGTGGATAAAAGAAATTACAATAGATTATAATATAAAATGTAGTGTTAATGCTTTTTATAATGAATTCAAAATTCTAAATAATTTCATATCCTTACAGACTATATATTTATGCATAAATTATAATTAATACATATATAACAGACATTTCTAAATTATTTATTAATTAAGAATTAATTTGAATTAGTAAATTTAATACAAAATGGCAGCATCGTCCTCACAGTCATTCGGTTGACTATCAAAATGATCTCTAAATGGCATTTGGGCTGATCCAGAACTATATGAAAAATTAAACATTTAACATTTAAAATACGCAAAATTAATCTATTCAAAATATTACTAAAATAATTCACAGCTGCCAAGTAAAGTAAAACACTGTGTTTTAAATGTTGTTGGAGTGTGTTTATTCAAATTATTACTACTTTGTTACTATTTAAAGAAGTTTTAACTATTGTAATAATTTTTTACAATAGTGAAACAAAATTTATTAAAATAATATTTGTTAGCAATGTAATAGAAAGTTAGATTTTTATCTATAATAATGTGATATTATAAATAATTTTAATTCATCAAATTCATGTTTGATTCCAATAAAAATATATTAAATTTTCTGCATCTTTACTATTTGATTAATACTTTCATCAAATGATCAACAATCGATTTAATTTTATTAAAATATAATCACATTTCACTGAATATACATCACATTCTTCTTTCTAAAATTAAATGAAAATTAGATGAAATCATCAACTCTTGTAAGTACTATTACAATAGTTCAGTGAATATTCAATGTACTGAACTTGTAAACCTTGCATCAAATATATAAATATGAAATCAAATATTAAATTCTGTTATTATTCAGTAAAATTATACACATTGAATAACCCAATTGTGGTTAATGCCAAACAATCTACCAGATTATACTGGACTATATTATGGCTACATTCATATAAATTAAATCATAATACAGATTGTTTGGTATTAGTAAAATTAAAATGGATTTACAAATATAATAAAGTATAATATATAATTATTCATTAATGTATTAATTTATCATGTGAATGAAATTTAAAAATGATACTGTCATCTGAAATTCTGAATGAGGGCACTAGATTTGGATGAAAATCAAATCGGCTTTAGATTAATGCATTTTAAAATCATAATTTAAATAGGTATATTAAATATTTCTGTAAATACATACAATAAGAAATTATCTATTATTTTTGAACACATAATTAGTATTTAAAATTAAATAAATATTAATTAACAATAGTTTTTTTTAATCTTAAAATGACTTTATAAATAAACTTGCAAACAAAAGAAATAAAATGCAAATATTTTCTGATAATTTTATGTTTTACTTTAAAATGAGGCTTCTCAATCTATTCTAAAAGGAACCTGTTGTGTTTCTACTAATTCTGCTTCACTTAATGTACTAGAAACTTCACTATTAAAAAATAACTAATTATTTATTGGTACTCTTTTCTCTGTTTGCCTTACATCGGTAATTGGTTCCAGGAGAGGCGACTTAAGTCGAAAAATGACATAAATCAAATTTACTTGTCACTAAGCTAAACCAGAAATAACCATTCCCAGTTTTGTATTTGATTTATAAATAAATTTTTAATAATATATGGTTAATAAGAATCTATTTTAAGCTTACAAACAAATAAATTTTAGTTTTTAATNATGCAAAAACCCACATCTAAAATAGTATAATAGAAGCCAAGTTCTTCAAGGTAAGCTTTAATCCTGTCTCTCTACCCCACGGGGAGAATTTCGACATGTATATTATGTAAAAACACGTGCATATTCGAATTGTGTGAAAATTTCAAAGGAATTGGTAGGAACAAACGAACGTTACATTTTTATTTATATAGATAGATAGAAGATGATCTGCTTTAGTTCATCCTCACAGAAAAGCAAACTTAGGGCGTCATACTCGTAGCGCCATCTGTTGGACATAAAAGCCTTAACCCTAGATGATATCTTTTAATTTATATGAATGTTTAACAAAAAAATCTGCAGGTTTGATTAGTGGTAAACATTCCGGGGGTCACAAAGATGCTACAGTTAAAATTTGGTAACGATTGGTTCAGTAGTTTTCACGGTTAGTGGTCACAAACGAAAAATACGTTGTCTCTTTATATAGTAGTATAGATTAGATACTAAGTATTTGGTACTAGAGGTAGACATTATGTGCTTAAACAATCAGGCTATAAATCTGGTATTATTAATGATTAGATACTAAGTAATTTTAAACAATCAAGCTATAAATCCGTGTTTAACATCTACCTCTAGTGCCAAATTACTTAGTATCTAATCATTAATAATAGCAGATTTATAGCCAAATTGTTTAAGGCAGGGTTGTCCAACCTTTTTTCTTAATGGGCCAAATTAAAAATTTACATATATTCAGAGAGCCACAAAAATACCTCATATAAATATATTCTTTTATAAAGTTTAAAATGTGAATATCAAATTTTAATAACATATACAGTATTTTTTGTAATTTTATATATCATTTATTGACAGTAAAAAAAGAAATTATACTCACACAAAATAAAAATAAATTCAATGCAATTTTTGACATTGCCTTCCTTTTATAATATTGTCAATGTCTACTTTTAGGATACCAGTCTATATTCTAAAAATGTTAGTTAAATGGGAATCACTCAACATATTTCTTTTAGCAGTTTTGAAGTTTTCATGCACAAAATGAATTGTTCAGAGTTTTACTACTCCACATGCATAACAGTTTTCTAGCACCAATTATATCATTAGAACATCAAAGTGTATTGAGTGAAATGAGAATAATTTTTACAACATACTTTACCAAAATAAATGAAAATGTACCTAAAAAATTTAGGATGCAGTGGGCCACATAAAAATATTAAGTGGGCTACAGTGAGGCCCATGGACTGGATATCCCTGGTTTAAGGTGATTGTTTTGTTGAGTATCTGTATATTGGGGTTTGGGATGTTTAATATACTTATAAAATTAAATAAAGTAAATTAAATTAAAAAATATATAAATATAAAATTAAATAAAGTAAAAGTTTTTATAATCTAGATTATAAAAACTTTTACTTTAAATTTTACTTTTACTTTAAAAGTTTTTATAATCTAGATTATAAAAACTTTTACTGATTTTATGCCAGGCATAAATGATAACAATTTATTACCAGTTTTATTAGTATTGATAATTAACTAAATTTTATCAAATTGTGCCAGTTTCTATCCACACATAAGGACTTTATTAAAGTTTAACATCTCTTGTGGGATATAGAATATAAAAGTGATAGTCAATCTCTCTCCATACATTTAAAATCTTTGGGATGATGCATTTGATCGCACATGTAATCCATTTTTGTAATGTTTCCATATCTGGAATACTGTCACATATACCAAATCTTTAAAATATCCCCAAAGAAAGAAATCTAGTAGATTATGTCTGTTGTAGATTATGGGGTTCACAAAATTGGTCCATCCCTGCCTATCCAACAGTTTGAAAATGTTTCATCCAAAATGCATGCTGTCCAACAACTAAACTTAAGTCTAATGGGTATATGCTCCAACCAGCTAGAAAATAACTGTAGACCGTCTCTGTTCAAATAGAGTTATAGCATAATGAACATGTCTAGAAACATATTTGCATTAATCATGTTTTAACAGAAGAAAATAGATATAATAATATGATCATTTCATAGAGCATACCATACATTAATGTTGGGATAGAATATGCTCTCTTATTACAAGTGGATTTTCTGCTCCTCAAATATATAAAATGTGTCTATTGACTAAATAAATGTCTATTGAAAAATAAACATGCAAAAATTGATTATCCTCATCAATTTTATTCAATATATAGTTAGCAAATTTCTCACATTCAGCTTCTTATTTCAAATATTGAAGTAGCTGAACTTTGTAGGCATACAGCTGTAGACATTTCCATAACACTTTGTACATTGTAGACTGTTATGAACTGCCATGAAGTTTCTCCCATAAATTTACTAAGCAATTATATAACAGCATCTTAAATTGTAGCCTCTGTTTATTCAAAAACAAACTGTCTGCCAGTACTTTTCCCTTACTCAACTGACCCAGTTTCCAAAAGCTTTTCTCATCCATAATTTAATAAGCCTTATATCTAGAGAATTCTTGCCATACTGAACTCTAAGCATTCTCTGCAGTCATAAAAAATTTTTTCAGTAACCAAACAATGTACAGAACTTACTCTTATACAGTACAGACACCATACTTGTATCAAACTGATTAAATAATTAACAATTCCTATTTTTATTAACAAGTAAAAAGTGAATACAAAAAAATCAAAATTAGTAATTTTACTCTAATATAGAGAGATTTTCCTTTTACAAATAAAATTTATATATATTTTTAAAATACAATTAGATCAAAATGTTAATTAACATATCACAATTAATAGCTCTAATTACCGTCCTTTGTCTTTGAAATTTCTCTCTCTCCGAGGAGGTGAAAATCGATTGCCTCGTTTCATGGGTAACGTTATATGTTTTTACTGATATCATGAAAACATCTAAAAAATAAAAAATAATAATTCAATAAATATAAATTTTCCATTTATTTTTTATATATTAGCAACATTTATACACAACAATAAATACACCTAAGTGAAACCATTAGTAGATTATTATGTAAATAGTGAAATGTGAATTTTACAATTGAAAATATTTTACAAGGATTTATCAGTAGGAGTCAGTTTGAAATCTACATATTACCAGCATGCCTCTCAACGGATAAAAGTTCAAGTTAATAGCATGGTCCCAATGCCATGAATGGAAAGGGACAAATGAGATTCCTTCTTACTTTTGTAAGAAGGCATCTCATTTGACTCTGCTCCAATTTTTATCAATTCATCAATAAGCTAATTTTAACACTAGCAGAAGT